GGCCTTAATAATTACCTATACTATTCTGGGAGTTCCTTGCTGTATTTATAGTATAATGGGTCCCAAAACCCTATTCTAATTATTAAGGCCCCTACATTAATCAAGGGGTTCTGGGTCTCCGGGCCAAACCCGGCGGCTCAAACCAAACATTCAAAACCAGACCGTGGAAGAGACGAGAATTCCGCGGCTGTGATTAGCTGAAAACGGCTCCTGAGGGTTCTTTAACGGGTTTAGGGTTTAGGGTTTGTAGGGTTAGGGTAAAATCGTTTCTGCATTTCGGGGTTTGCCGGCTTGGGGGTTGAAGGTACGATGGGCTTGCTTGCAGGGGTACGTTTAGGGTATGGGGTTTAGGGTTTAGGGTACCATGGGCTTGCTAACAGGGGCCTATCCATGGATGTAAGCCCATATCATGGCGCAGGAGAGCTGGCAAGCCTCCAAACACCTCACTAACGCTTAGGTAAGTCCTACTTTGCAGCAACAGTTACCACAAGGGAGCCGCCCCCTAAACCCTAAACCATTATACTGGGACTGCTCCAACTGCCAGCTTGCCTTGCGGATCGCATTGCTCTGTAGACTCCCACTTTGGGTTTACCCTATAAGGCTCCACCACCCTCCCCCAGAAAGCCCAAGACCCTCTTGGGAGCCCTAGGGTTTAGGGTTTAGGTAAGGCTCAAAATTGAGGGCTTAGGGTTTAGGACTTATGGGGGGTTTAGGTCTAGGGTTGGGGTTTAGGGGGTTCGGGGTTGAAGGTTTTTTAGTCTAGGGTTGGATTTTGGGTTCAGGGCTCAGGGTTTAGCCTTTTGGGCCGATTGTTTGATTTCAGGTCCTGGCGGGCGGTGTCTAGGGGGTTCAACGTAGGGTCTTGAATTCGGTCTTGAGGTCTTCGGGGCTTGGGGTTTAGGGTTAAGGGTTTCGGGGTTCAGGGTTTATTTAAGGTCTAGGGTTGGGGTTTCAGGTTTTGGGTTTAGGAGTATGGAAGTCGTAATGTATGGCAGGTAAGAAATAAGAAAAGCCCTCAGCCCTAATCCCCAAGCCCTTAATCCTACCTAAACCTCAGCACCCCAAGCTACTTCTCTATCTATCTACTCACCCGAAGGCTGCACCACTTTTAGTGACTTAGGATTTATTCGGGATGAAGCGTCACTGAAAAAACTCTGAAGCCAAACACACCACGTTCCCTAATGCAGGGGCCTCAAGAAGTCGACTTAGACTAGGTTTGTAGTGATGTGTACTTATGGTGCTAACGGGAATATCTTCTAAACCCTAAACCCTAAACCCTTAACCCTAAACCACAAACCACCGGAGGCCGCAAACATAAATGGAGAAAGGGGGGCAAGCATCGACAACCCCGGCAGCCACAGTGCGAAACGTGGGCATTCTCTTTGGCATAAACAAGAACCCATGTAGCGAACTACTTGGGAAATGCTCAAAGAATCATACATACACATATATATATATATATGTATATCTATTATATATATATATATATATTCTCAACCGTAAACTAAACAAACCCCCCCCCAAAGCCTTCCAGCCTCGTTAGACGAAGGGCTGCGACGTTCCCGGTTGGCGAAATCGTAAAGAGGGTTCCTTGAGATGCCAGGGAGGGGGGGGGGGCCAAGGGGGGATAATTAAAGCAAACTACAGGTGGGGAGTTTAGGGTATATAGACCTTCTAATTATAAGGCTCCTATAACGGTAACTACCGACCTGAAACCCTAAACCCTAAACCCTGAACCCTAAACCCTAAACCGTAAGGCTTAGTGAGCCCCCCTTCCTCCTATAACGGTAACTACCGACCTGAAGATGTCCTAGAGATAAAACCCTAAACCCTAAACCCTAAAACCCTAAATAGAGATAAGGCTTAGTGAACCCCCCCTTCTACGAAGTGCTCCCCAGACTTCCACAGGATTTGCACAGGGATCGCTAGCCGCTAGCACCCTCCATCCCAACACTACACTACCTTAAACCCTAAACCCTAAACCCCTAAACCCTAAACCCTAGCCTAAAGCCCTAGACCCCTAAACCCTAAACCCTAAACCCCTAAACTCCTAAACCTAAACCCCACGGATGCATGGTCCCCTCGGGAACTGCTGTTCAAGATGTACCAAGTTTTGGCGTCGAAGGCTTCTGGGGAAGGTTCGTTGTCACCGGCCGGCGACGATACTTCGGAACGTGCAGAACGCTACCCGTAGAACCCAATACCCCTTGATTAAGGAATATACCTTAAATTATAGGGACCTTAATATTATGATTTAAGGTATATTCCTTAATTAAGGGGTACTGGGTTCTCTGGGTATATTTTAGGGGCATGAATGACTGGGAAAGGCTTTGGGGTATATACTAGTCAAGTAGCGACTAGTATAGCAAAAGAGAGACGAAAAGGGGATACCAACTCCGTACTAATTATTCCGACCCCTATGTTACTGGGTTTAGTGTCAAGGCTTCCATGGGAGTTTCAGCAAGTTAAGAGACCGCAAATTGAAGGATCCCAAGTCTAAGTTACCCCAAGATTGGGTACCCCTAGTGTTTGAGAAAATCCCAGATGCTCATAGTACACACACTTGTATCTCGGGTGACGAGCACGCCAGCAAATTCGCAATGAGAATAGCACCATGACGCGAAGTTGAGGACAATTATGTTGATAGTGGCGGCAGTCTTGATGACGACGATGCGAAGACGACGAGGATGATGATGGTGATGATGATGATGATGATGATGCTGGTGATGCTGTTGATGATGATGATGATGATGATGATGATGTTGATGACGCTGATGATGATGAGGATGAGGATGAGGACGATGATTACGATGGCGAAGATGATGACCATGACCATACGATGGTGATTGCGATGGTGATGATGGTGGCGACGGTGAAGGTGATGGTGATGGCGACGGTGAAGGTGAAGGTGATGGTGATGGTGGTGGTGATGGTGGTGGTGGTAGTGATGGTGAATGTGATGGCGATGGCGATGATGATGGCGACGACGACAATGGTGAAGAAGAAGATGATGATGCTGATGATGGTCACGGTCATGATCAGAAGCCCTAAGCCCTAAGCGCCAACGATCATAACATCGATTTCATGACCTGCTGCTCATCTGTAGGCTGATCCACACAGCCCTAAAACATACCCGATATGGGGGTTTCCGAAAATAGGGGACCCTGCTACAGTACCCTAAATAGTAGGATCCTTATTATCAGAACCCCAAAATAAGGCACCCCCTATTTTCGGAAACTCCAAATATAGGGGGCCAAAAAACTCAATAGGGCTTTAGGACATACTCTCGTATCGCTGCACGGGGAACGCAAGGGTATACCACTACATTGTATGTACTTGTTTAGGGCTTATAGGGTTTAGGGTTTAGGGTTCTTCTACATATTCCCAAATGCAGTTTCGTCGGGCCCTCAAATATCTAAACCCCAACACCCGGCTAACATCTCGGCCGTTTTGTCGCGCATCGCTTCAGTCCACTGCTACATGCTGAAGCCTCACCTTGCTGCCGCAGCCTAAACCCTAAACTTTGAACCCTGAACCATAAACCCTTACCCCTCACCCCTTTCAGGCTTAGATCTAAATCCTAGAATCCCAAAGCCTACAAGGCTTCGCAACATTCTATGAACCAGGAAAAGTTTGCTCGAACCCGACTTGAAAGCCCTGGAAAGGAAACATCCCACAATGAAGCTTTGCCCTAAACTTAATATCCCCGAAAGTCTACTATGGAGTCCGTCGTACGTGGAATAAGGTCTGGGGCAGGTTCTACTAGAACTATAAAGCCAATTATAGGGCACGCCATTCATAAATATTCCGGCGTTTTCTAAGCGTTGCACTCCCTAGACCACCCTTCAGTAAATCCGGCGGATCTGCATGGGCGTCTTGCACCTTCCAGGGGGTTGAGAGCTGGTCACGCGATCTTGCTTTCAAGGCTCACGGTTTAGGATTTAGGGGTTGGGGTTTAGGGCTTAGGCTCGGGGTTTAGGCTTTAAGCTTTGGGATTCAGGGCTGAGGGTCTGCAGCCTAAAACGGTATAAGAGGGTTGGAGGCTTCGTCCCCAAAACCAAAAACCGAATACCTGAAATTCTACCCCCATCAGGATTCGTTTGGACTTGAAACTAATGGGCATTCACAATTGGAGTAGGGGCCCCATTGGATTCCGTATGTCAAGACTTCAAAGATGGTTCGGTGATATAGGGGCCTTAATCAATCCGTGGTTTAGGGTTTAGGGTTGAAGGTATAAAGTTTCAGGTACATTGTGGCGTTAAGGCCCATGAAATAGCGTAAGCAAGGATTTGTCCTTAGTTGAAGCGTTTGCCTCCAGGAATACTTGTTAACCCCTAACCCTAAACCCTCAACCCTGAACCCAAAACCCGAAAGCCTACATTCTGTTAGGGTCGGCATCTCGAAGAGCTCGGGTTTTGCCTTTCGAACCCTAAAGCCTAAACCCTCAACAAACCTTCAACACTAAACCCTAAACCCTCAACCCTAAACCCTAAAGCCTAAACCCTACTTCAGGACCCACATGACCAATTGCTTCAGAGCGCAGCTACATTTATGCCGACAGTAGCTCGTCGGGCTTGTGGTCAAGGGGGTACGTGCTTCGGGACGAATGCCCTGCCTTGTACTTGTACTTGACTTGACGGTGTTCATGCGGGTAGTTGCCTATGTTAAGGCCTAGTTAGAGTCCCTTTTAGGGTCCTTTTCATCAGGGTGCCGTACAATTGGGACCCTCATGTAGAGGACTACCCATGTGCCTCTAGGCGAGCTGCTTTTATGACAGCGGCACGGTTCTGTGCATTCACCACCGCAAGGTCTCTGTTGGCTGCAAAGCTGCTGCGACTCTGGCGCATGCAAACAGCTTCTGCCTGTACACAAACAGCCACCAAAACTTCGAAGATGCGCAGCAGGAAAGACCTCTGTCCTATCCACTTCGCAAGACGGAATGCTCGATGCTGAATTAAATGGAATGAGGGCACGGACCCAACTCTGCCAGATCTAGTCGCTCAGCTCGCTTTGACAAGCTGGACAAACTGCTGCAATAGGTTATTGCCATGTTGCTTCTGACTTGGGCAAGGGTGGCAGTCATGCTGATCCTCGAAACGATGCTTCAAGCACACCTGGACCGTTCTTCAAGGGACTCACGACTCACAGATCAAAGAAATAAAACTACAAACCAAAACGAACAAAAACACCTCTGAACTGCCTGGACACTTTGATACCACAAGTGCCGCAGTTGCAAGAGTTCGAGAAGGTGAGCTTCTCCCGGCAGCCCTTCACCTGGGCTGTTCGTACTTGGAGGGCCGTTGAAAACCTTCAAGGTTTTTACCCTTCAACAGACCAGAGCAGACCAGACTAGACGAGGTCTGACTAGACTAAATACCCCTTAAGTTCTATCACCCAGACCCCCGGGAGGATCCAAAAATTAGATCCCTTAAGGGGGCTCCTATCTAGTGTCTGGGCAAGCAAGTTTCTAGAACGGCCTAGGCACGGGGCAGCGATTCGGCTTGGTCACCTGTTTGGGGACGCAGCTTCCGCTTGCGGCGTGCCGTTCCCAAACTTCGTTCTCGTCTTCGCCATGCGCATGCGGAATCGCCAAAGAGCAAAGAGGGCAGACTATCACGCGACGGTCCGTGGCCTGTCGCCCCTTGGGACAATCATGGGCATCATAGCTGAAATGATGAGAACAGTAAGCTTTGCCGCAGGCGTCACACTCGAAAGGAAGTAAGTCCTGCTGATTGCAGTACGGATGGGAGCAATGCTTGCCACAGTCGCTGAAGTTCGCCATTGCGAGTCGAAGGCACTGTCTACACAAGGTACCAGCCGATTAGCAGAATTGAGCCTGTCACGCATTCATGAACCCGTGACTACAAGCATTCGCAAACATAGGAGCCTTAATAACTAGTAACTTTAGTAACTTTAGTATGACAAACACCCCAAAACCTTATTCTAAATTATCACGCATCCTATAAGACCAGGCCTACTGTTACACTTCACCAGCTCGTTGTCCTTGTTAAGGAAATCTATGCAAGGGTTCCTAGATCTATAAGGGAGTTTGCAACGGCTCTATCAGGGTCTAGGGTTAAACGGTTCAACCCTAAACCCTAAACCCTACAGCGGCTCTATGAGGGAATTTGTAAGTTTTTCCTAGAATCGCAAGATTGTTGCCATTGTGATGATATAAATCCTGCATTACCTTAAAGGACCCTAAACTCTGGGAATTATGGTATATTCCTTACTATCATTAATGCAGGATTAAGATCATCAACCGTATGATGGAGACCTGACTACGATCAGAAAGAGCTCAGCTTTTGCAGACGAAGCTCTCAGGTCAAGGGCTTAAGGTTTGCGTAGGGTTTAGGGGTTTAGGGCTTTGGGTTTTGGGTTTAGGGTCTAGGGCTTAGGGTCTATAGGGTTTAGGGGTTTAGGGCTTTGGGTTTAGGGTTTAGGGTCTAGGGCTTAGGGTTTAGGGCTGAGGGTTTAGGGTTTAAGTTCAGCACACCAAAGCTAAACCTGAAACTCCATTTCTCCAGGTGCTTAGGGGCCTATAAACCCCAAGCCCTAAACCCTAGGATTTAGGAAGCTTTGTTTAGGGTACCGTGCTCATGTGATGGGGGCCGGCCCCCGTCGGGACCCTCAGCCCCGAACTCAAAACCCCTAAACCCCTATACCTCAACACGGTTTAGGGTTTAGGGTTTAGGTTTCACCCCTAACCTAAAGCCCCTAAAGCCCTGACCCAAACTCCGGGAATCTATATGAGGGCCACAGCTTTCAGCTTGGAGGGTCCGGGGGGCTTAGTATGTAGCTATTCCATAGACTTATACAGTAAATATCATAACCCTAAGTAGGATCTCTTCTAGGGTACTTCTAAGTCGTCTACTACTTATATCCTACTTACTACATCCCCGACCCTCTAAAGATCCCTTGTAGAACCCTTGCCTAGATCCCGTTAACGAAACCCTCATAGAACCCTTATAGATCCCTTTCAAGGAACCCTTATGGAACCAGCACAGATCCCCTTAAGAATTCTACTCAGTCCACCGGACCCTCCAAGTGGAGCAGGAGCTGATTGTTTGGCGCCACGGCCCCGTGAGGCGCGAGCGATTGGAGCGATCACAGAAGCTCTACAGTTACGGGTTTAGGGTTGTAGGGTTTCGGGTTTAGGGTTTCGGGCTAGGGCTCAACACCCTGCACCCTAAACCCTATTTGCTTTGGGGTGTGCTATATACAAGAATGCTAGAATTATCAAAAACCCTAAGGATTCACGTAGAGGTGTCTCGTAGGATGAGGATCCCGGCCAGGTACTTATAACTCTACCAAATGACTACTTAGCTGTTTAGGGTTTAGGGTTTAGGGTTTAGGATTTAGCTTCAAGTATGCCGTAGCTATCAGCTAAAGACCACAATGAGACAGTATGGCTGGTTCTTCAAGACCTCTAAGACTTTTCCGTGAGGAGGTGGCTTCTCCACAAACCCGCAGAATGTGCGCTAGTATGGTTCAGCCCTAAGTCAAACACGAAGCTTGCGCCATCATGGCTGCGGACATGCTTGCAGTGTCCGATTATGGGTTCAGGGCCTGTGGCTGGGTTTTCGGCTCAAAAATTGGCATAGTAGCGGGTTTAGGGTTTATAGGGTGTAGAGTTTAGGGTTTAGGGCTTAGGGCTTAGGGTTTAGGGTTTAGCGGGGTTTAGGGTTTAGGGGCGGGGTGCTAGCCTTCCGGTGCATACATCCATTGAATTAAGATTTCAGGCTCAGGCCTTGGGCCAGGACGACGTTCGAACGCAGAAGTTGCGATATCTTGGAGGAGCTGTAGTACTGTTTATGATAAAAAAAGATCCTGCATTACCTTAAGGACCCTAAACTATGGGAATTGTGGTATTCTCCTTACTATGGGCAATGCAGGATTTATATCATCAACCGTAGGGTCGAAACCCCCGTCCCAAACCCTAAACCCTAAACCGGTCTGGGTCCTCTCTCCAGTGAGTTTCCGTACATAGCTGTAGCGCCTGATATCACCCGATGAGCTTTCTGGCAGAGATACGAATCGCCCTGCGACGTTGTAGGTAGATTGGCGCTATGCCGGCGTACATGCACCTTGATTGGGGTTATGTAATATTCTGGGTTCTAGCTTTGGGGCCCTGAAAAAGGATTTATGAATATGTACCTCTTTAGAAACCATTCAGGGAAACTTTAAAGTTTCCCAAATTGCCACCTAACATCATCCTCTGCACAACCGCATGTACTTGTAGCACACTACAGACCTCCCAAGTCCCCTCATGACCCCCTGAAGCCTCAACTCTGTCTCCTATAATATAGGAACCTGATTAAGAGACCCTGGGTCTTTATTAGGGTTCTTAATATGAAGCTGGGGTTGTAGGGCCAGGGTTTCTTAATCAGGTTACTACATTAGTAAGACCCAAAATGTCGGAGACCGGACTAAGGACAAATAGTGGTGGGATTCCCTGCTACATTACTCTTAAGGATTGAGGCTATTGGGTTTCCAACTTTTTTGGCTTCTACTATAAACCCTGAGCTTCTGATCTGCCCCATATGTAGCCAGGCGAAGCGCGGCTACGAGCGCCTGATTTGACAGACCTATTCGAAAAAACTCAACAGCAACGGTTCAAGCAGCCCGCACAAAAACTCTCAAGAAACGAACCGCTAAGTCAGACTTTAGCTAAATTCCATGACTCCGCACTCCATATCCTATCATCCTAAGTCCCCGAAACTCGCCGAAACTCGCAAGTCACCGAATCAAGGGACTATCCCCGAAGCTAAGTTATCTAACGAAACCTCTATAAGTTGAGGAATAGTCTGACGAAGAGATCCCAAAGCCCCAAGCCCTGCAACATAAATTCCCTTACCCCAAAATCCCTAAAGCCTGAAAGGGTGTAGGGGTTTAGGGTTTAGGGTTTAGGGAACAAAGTCTAAACCCCAGAGCAGAAAACCCCTAAACCGCGGAAAAACCGACCATCTGCAATGTCCCAGTGTCCATTGCGCTGCGGGGTCCGAGATCGAGCGCCTGGGAACCTTTCTGATAGGGGACCGAAGTCAAAGAGGGGGATTCGAGTGTCCGGCCTATAACATGTACTTACTTCCCCAACAAGCCAGGGAAATAAAAGGTTAAAAGTTCAGATTACTAATAAATTTTAAGAACCTAGAAAGTTTAAAGGTCGGGTATTGGTGAATTAAGTTTTGGGTTAAGGGCTTTAGGGCTTTGGGAATTAGGGTTTGGGGGTTTGGGGTTTAGGGGTTTAGGACTTGGGCCCGAACCCTAAACCCAAAGCCCCGACCCGAGAATCCTAAAGCCCTGAACCTACCCACGTGAGACCTACGAGTGGTTTAGGGTTTAGGGTTTAGGGTTTAGGGGGCTTACTAGCAGTGTGTTGGATGGAAGAGATTGTAGAATCAATCCTGGCCCTAACTCCCCTGACCCCTGAACCCTAAACCCCTACACCCCGAAACCCTACACCACTCGTAGAGGTTGGGAAATCTCCTATTCCGAACCCCTAAACTAGGATGGAAGAGATTTGGATTCTGTAAGCCGGTAGTCAGGGCTGAAACACCATTTTTGTCTAAGGGTTGAAGCTTAAGGGTTCAGGGTTTACGACACTGTAGGATTTGTGTAGGGGCTTTGCAAGAGTTCTTTCTTGAAGTTTATCCGGGTGAAGTAGGAAAGCATATCGTGTACTACGATGGTAACTTACATGAGCTACTTAGCAAAAGAAAGGCGCAGTTGGTTTAGGCAGTCTAGGGAAACTGTACCCTGCATCTTGCTGGAAGCATAGGCCAGGTTCTGTTGGGACAATGTAAGCCGAGGTTCCCCAGCAACCCCTTAATAATAAGGGTACCCTTTTTCCTAATATTCGGTATTAGAAAGGGGACCCCCACAATCAAAAGAGGAAAAGGGTACTACTGAGCAGCCTACATAAGCTTTCCTGTCAAACCCAACCTCAAGTTCCAAACGGGACTTGGAGCAGTCTTCGTCTCAACGAACTCTGTGACGCCGACCCCTGCAGCTCCACCCTAAATCCTAGACCTTAAAACCCTAAACCCTGAACCCTAAAACCCTAAAGCCCTAAAACCCCGAAACCCTAAAACCCTAAAACCCTAAAACCCTAAACCCTAAAAACCTAAAACCCTAATCCCCTAAAACCCTAAAGCCCTAAACCCTAAACCCTAGCCTTTAAAGGAACCTTTAGAGATCCCTTTAAAGGAACCCTTAGAGATCCCTTTAAAGGAACCTAGATCCCTTTAAAACCCTAAAAACCCTAAAACCCTGGAGCCCCAGGTCTGAGGACGGACGAGCAGCCAGCACGCCAACGCTGCTCGGGTTGACGCCTGGAGGTGTTGGAGTTGGTGATGGTAGGGTTTAGGGTTTAGGGTTTAGGGGTTTAGGGTTTAGGGGTTTAGGGTTTAGGGTTTATGGTTTAAGGTTTAGGGTGTAGGGTTTAGGGTTTAAGGTTTAGGGTGTAGGGTTTAGGGTTTAGGGGGCCTCAATAATTAGAACAAGGTTTAAGGCTTCAGGTTTGGAGTTCTTTTAAATGGGGGGCTATAAGGGATACTAAAAAGGTTCTGTGATATATAGTCCCTAAACCCTAAACCCTAAACCCTGAACCCTAAACCCTAAACCCTCGAGGCCATGATAAGTAGAAGAGGGCCTTGGACTCCTTTAAAGTATACCCTAAGGGTCCAAGTGCCCAAATAGTAGGGTTTCAAGGTCCAAAAACCACTCAGAGTATGGATTTTGGGACCTAAAACCTTACTATGTGAGTTCTCGGACCCTCTG